TCAACCGATCCCTCATGGCTAATGAATTTGTCTAAACTGCTGCGATCGTAATCCATGCTGGGAATTTTATCGGCCAATTGTTCAGCTGGCGCATCACCCTTGCGCGGCAAAGCGTAGGCAATTTTACTGAGATAGGCATGCTTAATTAGCCAAGCCATAAGGCGATAGGATTCGCCAGTAACTCCGGCATAATCTGAGCTTTTACTCCAGTGTACCAACTGATCGATGAGTGTGGAATTTTTCAAAAGTTCCAATGCCAGTTTTTCTGAAAGACAAAATTTAGTTATAGAAATATATATGAGGTGTCACAAAAAAAAAAAAAAACACTCACCTTGACCATCAACCGTCATTCGTAATGTTCCAAGCAGTTTAAAGACGACCGGTGGTTGGTGTATTTCCAGCATAGGCAATATAGTCTCTACAAGTCCAGCTTGTATAACCGCACTTTTATTTACCTTTGGAATAACCAAATTCCGTAGCGTACTTAGCAAAGCATGCTGGAGTCGTACATCATCCCGTACGCCATTATTTTTGGACAGAACTTCAAGAAGTTTGTTCATAGTCTTGTTTTCGACCATATGAATGCAATGACTATCAGTTCGGGCAAAGTTTCCCAAAGCAAGCACACCGGTGGTCAATAGATCGACATCATCTGAATCTAGCCAATCTTCCATGTTTTTGAGTAACGACGTTGTATACAAGTAATTCATGGATTCGTCTGTAAAATTAAGGAAGAATGGATTAGGACTAACGCTATATAGCATTTGGACATGTAATGCAAAATTAAGTTAACACGAAGCAATTTTAATGAGCTTTCTATTGCGTGCGAACCACTTCGTTCCACTGCTAAACGAAATGTCAATGTCTATTTTTCGTGTCGCTGTTAACCCCATGACAAGGTTGAATGAAATTAATCTGGTGGGAGTGTCATGTGCGATAATAAAAACCTGTAAATTGCGATTCTCTTCGATATCTTTTAAATTCAAAATTTTCGCGTAAAAAAGAATTTAAATCGTAAATGGCAAAAAAAGTTAGAGAATCACACTACAGGAAACTATTTATCGGTGTTGCACAATTCAAAAGTTCATTAAAAAGAAGCGAATCGAGGGAGGCTATTACTGCAAGATCTAGCAAAATTATTATGATTTTAAATTTGAAATTAACAAGTTAAAAATTATCGGTCGATTTTGCCGACAGATATACCTCAGTTTATGCTCGTTTATTTAAATATATTTTGACATAAATTACGGTTATTCAAGGTATTGAAGTTGTGGTCCAATATTGTCCGTTTCGCATACGACTTAAGTCTCATATAAATATTGCGACATACCAGGTTTGGGATATATCGACTTCTTCCTTCACTTTATTTGAGATTTTATTTGAGTGTGTATATATTTTTATACCCTCCATCTTTCTATGGATGTATTAGCTTTGTCATTCCGTTTGTAACTCCTCGAAAAATGCATAATAGACCCTACAAATATTCTGGATCAGCGTAAAATTCTAAGACGATCTAGCGACGTCCGTCAGTCTGTTGTAATCACGCTATCTTTCGAAAGAATTGAGATAGAAGGCTAAATTTTGCATACATGCATAGTATACCAGCAGGCAGGTTAAGTTCGGACCATGTCGGTCCACGTTTACGTATATCCCCCATATAAAGGTACCTCCCGATGTTCGGAATTTTTATGATTTTAGCAACAATATTTACCGGAATCGTTTCAAATTTCATATTGGAAGAACTTAATGGGTACTACAACCTATTGCGATGTTCAAAGTTTGGACCAAATCGAATGCTTCATTCATCAGCCAGACAGACAGACGGAAGGTCACCGCTAGATCGACTACAAATGTCTTGAAATGTGTGGATCGAGTACAAATGTCTTGCCCCAAGATACCTAGGTTCTAAACCCCTTATTTTGAGGCTGAGGGTATACAAATGGAATTGGTAATTTTCTTTATATTACAAGTGCAGTATGTTAAAACAACTAACAACCCTTTTACGAAGGCATCGAGCAACAGAAACAAATAATAATTCAAATAGAAAACAAAATTCGTTTTTATTTTACTTACCTCCCGTCAAAACAAGAACAATTAATTCACAGGCGAGTTTCATCAGAGCTCGAGCTTCACTAGTGCGGGCCAGAGTTTTATATTTTTCCAACAGCTGATAAATGGTTTCACAGAGTCCATCTTTTGCCAGTAAAACTTTGACGTCATCATTTTCGGCCTGGTAATGTAAAAGTTCAAGGCACATTTCTGCTAAGTCAGGGTTCGTTGAGGCGGCTAAAACTCGGGCTAGTTGTAAGTTTACATTTGGATCGAAATTCAAATCGGCCACGTTCTCGGTTAGTATACTCATCAGTGGCAGAGTATTTAAAAGTAGATCTTCATTTTCCTCAACATTCTCTACACCGATGGCGATTATCTTTGAAATTTTTGTCATGATGTTTAAGTCCATGGCCCGTTTTGAAAAAGTTTCGCCACCAAGCAAGTAATTCGATAACAGACCTCCTCTCACTTTTATGAATTGCAGAGCATTTGTTTTATCCTTTAAGCTTATTATATCAAGTAGTTTGATCAAGACCAAATCTCCCTTAAGGTCCAGTATTATCTCTCGAGCATCGTCATTCAAGTAGCAAATGTTTCCCAAGGCTCTGCAGTTTTGTATGGTCAACTCCATGTTGTCGCATTCATTATTAATATTCCGCAGATAGTCGATGAACGCTTTAATCACTTCCGGTTTGGTAAATTTTTTTCGCTGTTCCTCCGACTTGGTTAGCTCTGCTATACATTTACACGCCTCCTTGCAAACGGTGGCATTATCACATTGGATCAAGGTTAAAAATTCCTCGGATAGTTCATATTTGTCAAAAAGTTTTGGGTCTTTTGTGGCAGCTATCTCACTCAAAATGGTAGTAGCGTTGTCTGGAATATTGGTGGGATTAACGGTGGTGGCTTTAAATTTTTCAATCAGATCGTCAATTTCGCCTGTTGGAGAAACAGAAAAGTGGAATGTTTGCAGATTAATATTTATTTTCGTTAAAGACATTGGTCTCTTCTCTCATTCCCCATATCAATATTTTCGTCTAACTTAACTAAAAGTAGCATTGTTAGATGGATAAGAAGACACCTAATACCTAAACTATAACATTTATATTGGCATTATTAACCAAATGTATAGAAAAACACTTAAAACGATACAATGCTTAATTAACTAAATAACATTTGAGTATGATTTCGAGCGTTCATAAATGCTTACTTTTTAATTTTCTTTCCTTTGCAATTAAACCCTTTATTAATATAATATTTCAAAGAAACCACATAGCATTTCAGCTACTCAGAAACCAAATATTTGTTATTGTTTTGATACTATTTCTGACATTACAAGCCAAACAGGTAGACCTCTATACTTGCAATTTTTTCAAAGTTGACCTACCTTCTCTTCATTGTACCATGATTAAAATTGTTAAAATAATTAACATAATGTATATTATAGTAAAAGCTTATCTGCTTCTTCACTCAGGCGCAAGTACACAAATAAATAAACAAATTAATAATGTTTTTTATACGAGTAACAGATAGTAGAGTGACTATAACAAATTTTAAAGTAAAAAGTAACTTTATTTACTAAAACACATAAAATTCGTACAAGTATGGCCACCTTGTACTGTTTTGTTCGCCGGCGTATGAAATAGAAATAAAGCTAATTGAGTTCGCGGCGTCCGACGAAATTTTCGTTTTTTATTTTTGACATACGCCGCGAAAAATTCGTCGTTCGCTCCAATTGTGTTCCTAGCATATGTTGCAGAATATGCAGAGATGAATATTATTATTTGAAATGTGTAGAAAGAGATGAAAAAAATTAATTCTTCTATGTGTTTAACTTATTTTAAGTATGAGGATAAGTACTTATGCACTGTTCCAGAACTTGCAAGTGTCTAATGGAACAGACCATTAATTAATTAAAAGAACTTGTTTTATATAATTTTGAATAATACCGACCGAAAGTGGGCATAACCTAAATACCGTATTTTAGTAGTTTTACGAAGCTGTATTACCTCCATATTGTACCATAGCTGCACCATGGTAGAAGAATATAGGTAGATTCATTAACGCTTGGGAATATTGATATGTCAACATTTTTGAATATTTTTTCAAAAATTAGTAGATTTTTGGAAGTTTTCTTATACGACGCAATTCGGTTGCTATAAAATGCATTTTTCTACAATCTTTACAAATTTCAGGAGACAGATTAACTAAATTTAAGAAACAAAACTCCCTGAAATGCAAAAAAAAAAAAAATGTTTCCTTTATTTGGTACTTTTCTACCAATATTTCTATTTAAGAAGAATGAATGAAACGTCACGTATTCTCCACAATAACGATTTCCTAATATTACTAAGTAGTTTTCATTCCAAAATGAATGATTGATATTATAAAGCGGTTTTTTACTGGCTTAAGTCATCGCATGGCAAAGCAATAGAAGCAGACTCATTTGCTAAGTCAAATACTACAACCTCTTTTCCAAAGTACTCGACCTTGCCTTTTTTCATGGTAGAGGAATACAGATAAATGTATCGAAGCTTGGGAACAGTAATAAGTCAAAATTTTTTGAACGTTTTTCAAAAATAATTAGATTTTTATATGTTTTCCTTTACGACGCCAATCAGAAATTGTTATAATATGAGTTTTTAATAATTTTTCAAATTTGAAAAATTTTTCATTGGAAAATATCAATTCCAAAATTGGCTTGACAGTTCATTGTCTCAGCAGCTGTACCGATGAGACTACCAAGCTAGCATTTGGAAGATTGTTTTTGAAAAAATCACTTTGGTGAGTCTTCTTCGAGTCCTTTTGGTGACCAAAAAATGATTAATTGACTTGTATGATCGAAAGCGACTCTCTAATGAGTGAAAAGAGATCGTTTATCTAGATGTGCAAAATGTGACCATTTTTTACTGTTACTGTTCATTTATAAAAAGTGAATGGAGGCGTCAACAGCAAAAGTGAATAATATTGAAAAGTGAAAAAAAAATTGAAAAAGTGTACGTTTATCTCATTGTTTATTTATTAATTTTTATAAAGAAAATGTCAGCAAGTTAAATTACAAATATGGAAAAGGCTAAAATAAAAACGATGGCAAAAAGAGGCAGAAAATTTAATTTTGCAAAAAAGAAGTAAAACTGAATATGAGAAAAATGAAGAAAATGTCCAGAAACGTGAATTGGTGAAGAAAAATGAGACAGAACTAGATTTGTAAGTATAGAAAATTGGGTATTTGATTGATTGATTATTTCACTTCTTTATAAACTATTAATACTTATATATTTTTTTGATAATCTATTTCCAGAAAGAGATTAGCAAAAACCGATAAATTAGCCTGCCAATACAGCTGGAAGGGGACAGGGTAAATTTGAGCACAGAAAAGTTTTATTTATTCACAGTAATCAAAAGTGAGTCTGTCTTTTTAACACGTATATAAAGAATTAGTAAAACGGACAGACTTGTACATATTTTATTTCAGATATGTGTCATCTCAAATACTCAAGCAACGACAAGGATATGAACACAATCCTGCAAAAACATTTTGTTCACGTTAGAGACCGCGTTACAAATAGAAAACGGCCCGATTGCAGTTCCCGATTTTTTATTTTTTATTTTTTGATTTTGAATTTTTTAATTTTTTTTTTATTTTCTTATTTAATTTTTTACAATTTGGTTTATTGATATTACAGTAATTATATTATAATTATAATCATAAAAGCTGAATTATTTTAATTTTAAATACATTTTTATATGAACATATATTATTAAATTCCTTTTTTACGGTACATCCGAATATTTAGAAATCACGTACGTGATTCGTAGAATCGTAAACACTCATATAAGACTCTAAAATGACTCGAATTTAAGACAAAGGGGACTCACAAAAGACTCCTAAATGAATATACATATGAGTGATATATGGCACTTAAAAGACTAATAAATTACTCACTTAAGACTCATAAATGATTAAAAAATGACTTAAAAAAGACTCGAAAAAGATTCACAAATCAAGCGTTTTGGCGCAATAAATGATTAGAAAACGACTCGTATAACGATCAGAAAATGGTCGAAAAAGACTCTTAACTAATCTAGAGGATGACTAATATGTGATTTATTTAGAAGAGTCGCGGAGGTCACGTTTTTCTCCCGACAACTGAGTCTTTTATGATCAGAAAATGCGCTCATATTCCAGCTTTTTAATCGCGCAAGCGGATCAAAAAAGATTCGAATGAGACTAAGAATTTCAAAAAATGCTAACTGGGTACCTTCTTCTACCATGCCAATTTCCATATATAAGTTATTTTCTTATTTAAAGTATTTACGTATGACGATTGACATGTTGTTTGTAATTTTAATTGTGCCATGGAACTCATCTTCCATTTCCATTGGGTCATTTTATCGGTAAAAGAAAATTTATAATTTTTTTACATATCGTACATTTTGAAGAAGGAATTTTAAATTTTTAATTTTGAAAGTTGGATGTTGTCTATGAAATATTATGAAGAAATTTAATATCATATGTTAGCATAAGATTACCTTGTATTATTGCGTCATGAGATTAACCATACAGAAATAGAGATTTTAAACACTTCAACTTACGGAAAATTTCTTGGTGCTGTAATTTCCTGTGTCGTCCACGAATTAAGCTGGCCATAGACGAACGATTTGTTGGTGTGATTTGCAAATTTATTGCTGCGATTTATTGCATATCGTTTCTCCACACACGCTCGAACAAATCATAATTCGGCCGACGTTGAAGAGTAAGCATATGCTACGAAGCGGATGATGTTCATTTTGTGTTTGAACTTCGGTTTGTGCTTCTGTTTGAATTTTGTGGCAGAAAATTTTTTATTTAACAATTGGTTTTTTCTGTTGATAGGAAACTTAAAAAAACATGTGCGACGATTTTGAATTATATATACATGTTTCGACATGGAAAATGAAAAACAAGAAAAGAAAAAAATCGAAAAAAAAGAAAAAGAAAATGGAGTGAAGAGTGGCTGCTCGAAAGAAAAAAGCATTCCCATGTAGCAACGCTCAAAAATATGGAAATGCTTATTCCAAGGGATTATAAAATTTTTTTTACTACGTCCACCGAAGCATTTTTGTCAACCTCTTTCCATTTTGTTACGAGTTTTTCCCATGATTTTTGTTTTTCTAATTTGTCTTTATATGTTTCACTTTTTGTTTGCCAAATGGCATTTTCATTTTTTAACACATCAAAAAATTCTATCATAAAGTCTTTGCTTGCCATTTTTTGTGTGCACTACACGACCTTTCGTTACAATGGTTGAAGAGCAACTGAAATGGCAAAATGGCTTAAAATTTGCGTAGTAGCCCACACACGTATGATTTGTTTGCCAAAAACTTGCAATTTGTTCGCAAACTACCCCACAGACGTAAAAACGCGACCACAAACCCAACAAATTGCTCGAATTTATCGTTCGTCTATGGCCAGCTTTACGCATGGTACAATAAGGAGGTAGAACAGCTTTGTAAAACTAAACAAATACAGCTCTGAAGCTATACCCGCTTCTTGTCAGAATTATTTAAAATTATATCCAACAAGTTTTTATTCATTTGATGTTTTTGTTCATTTTTAAAATGAGTCAAATTGAGCGAAAGATGAATGAAATGCCTGGATGATCTCTCAAAAATATGATCCTAAGTGTTCATTCCGTGGCAAAACTGGTTAATATCATTAATGCCAGCCCCTCAATTTAAGTTTCTTCCAATATTTTGTTATTATTTTTCAAAACTATAAATAAATACACAAAATTGGCAGAAGTCGGGCACACTTGCCTTTATTTTGTACTTACTTACCTTTTATTGTACCATGGAATTACGTTTAATTTGTGATCTGTTTTTAAGGATCAAAACCAGTTGAATGAATGTTGGCAAAATCTTCACTAACCTACTATATGGATTGTGTACAATATGGACACTGACAATTTCGTGCAATGAAATTAACGCCAATTCAATTGAAAACTCGTGAATTTCTAGAAGTGATATTGTCGATCTTCATAATTATTCTAGATTGCGCAAAGTTATACTTTGAAGCAAAATTCAATAATTTTTTAACCAAATCCTTAAATATTTATAAGGCTAATATTTACGTTGTCTGTTTTAGATTGTATTTTTCGTTCTCTTATATTTTCTAAAAGGCGAGAAAATGAGGAAGTATTTGGTCGAAAAAATTTAAATTTCTTGCCAACTGTATGCCCATATTCAAGGAAAATATATACAAAACAATTGACAGTGAAGGGAAATTAAACATATGTTTGAAATGTGAAAAGGAAAGATAAATTCGTGGTACAATTAACAAGGTAATCTCATGCTATCCTAAGATAATATTTTAAGATCAATTTTTGCTTTTATGTCTCTTCATTGTCAAATTTATATTTTTTGTAATTCTTCCTTAAATATGGATGTAGGCTGGCAAGAGTTTTTCGTTTATTTCATTTTATGCAGCAGATTTTGTGAAGATTTTGGCAACATTTTTCAGTTGGTAATTCTGCGGGTTTGATCGCTGAAGGCGGATCTAAAGTAAAATCACATTTGAGGCCTACACAATAACTAACATTACAGCAAAATGAGTTTACCTCTATTGTTTTGCCATGGATAAATCTTTGCATTTTTTTCCAAAAACAGATTGTCATGAATATGCAATAAAATGGAAATTTTGTGGAAATACGTTTGGACGTATGTTAAGTTTAATTCGAGCAGATGATGAGGGAGTTGTTGTCGGATATTTTAATGAATACATTGTAAGAAGTAATGGAGCAAATAAATATGTCTTACTACATATTTGAAAAAAAAAAATAGTTACGAAATTGCGAAAAAGTGTTAAAAAATGCATAACATAAAAACCCCAATAGGAGAGCATATACAAATCCATGGCTCAATAAGAAAAGTTGTTCAACTTCAAAGAAACTATGAAAATGCAACTCGGTACTGGAGTCTTATTGTGTCAAATAAACATTCAACCCTTGGTTTTATATTTTAAAAATTTTCATAAAATTCTTTTCTTAAGGGAAAAGCAACGGAACTGAATAAATGAAATGTTGGGATTATTTTACAAAATTGAGCCCAGAATAGAGGACAATATTGTATTATTCCAAAATTGTACTGTTTGTTGCCCATTAATATTAAAAAAATATGCATTTCTGCTGCAATAGAATTTATAATAATTTCAACACCAATAGGTAATGCGATTCCAATGATCCGTTGTAATGGTCGGGCTGGATTCTCACCAGTTCCTGCAAAACATGTCTCAGGGTTACTGTCATACCCTCATTAAAGGGTACAATAAACCTATTGTCCAGTCGGCTAGCGTGAAAAGCTGCTAAATCAGAAACAACATTAATCAAAGTATAAATTAAGGTGCAAGTACATAAAAAGCAGTACTAAAATCCTGCCGTCGTTTTCCATTATAATTTGACATTAATATGCCTAGCCATGACTTCAAGCTGTTTATGTACTTGCACCCTAGATACTCGTGTTTTGAAGCTCACAGATGTTTTCGGCTACACAGTTGGGTCACACCCATGGCAAAGGATACGGGTAGATGCATCAACGCTTGAGAACATTGATACGTCAAAAATGTTTAATTGTTTCTTAAAAATAAGTAGACTTGTATATGTTTTCCTATACAACGTCAATCGGAGGTTGTTATACTATGCATTTTCTAACAATTTTTACAAATTTAAATAATTTTTCATTTAAAAACTTCAATTTCAAAATTGGTTTGACAGTTCATTGTCCCAGCTGCTGTGTCGATGCAACTACCTGTATTCTTCTGCTATGGTCACACCATTGTGATATGCCTAGTCTAGCAGCAGTTTAAGCACACACGCATCAGAGGCCGAGTCCATACATTGAGCTACAATATACATAACAATACGGATTAAATTTATGGGATCTACCAAGGTCATAGCAATCGTAACAGCCCGATTTGTGTAACTACCACTTATATATCCCACAATGGTTATTGCTATGAAAGTACTAAAGCTAAATTAAAAAGCTCGTAATGTCCCATCTTTGGGTTAGGTACGCCAGTCAATAGAAAAATGAAATTTCTCATAAATTCTCCTAAGCTGATTCTTAAAGGAAAAAAATTGCAATTCTACAAATCTAACAGAAACCAATTTAACTTCTAAAATTGATATTGACAATTTAGTTTACAAACAAAAATAATAAATTATTGTCAATCACACCTTATTTAATACACCTTGAGAGGTACCAAAAGAAAATAATGTATTTGGAGGTAGCTTTTTTCTACCTTTTCAAATTATGCCATGTACAAATGTACCATTTAAAAAAAGTATTTAAAAATATTTGACATTTGAATGTTCTCAAGCGTTAAGGCTGTATGGTAGAAGAATACCATGCGTTTTATAAAACTAGTTTGGGCATCCTCTCGATTGCTTTTCTTATTTTTTTTTCGACTAGTTTCACAATGTCATTTGTTTGCGCCATCTCTTTGTCATAAAATTAATTATTGAAATACAGCACATAGATGGCGCTACTAAAGTAATCGTGTGCTTAAACAATGCAGTATAGGTGTCACTTGTTTCAATCATCTGAATGTATTCTAAAACGAGTGTTACTAAATGCTTAATCATACAACTTGTATTGCATATAATTTACTTTTTCGGTAAGGTGAGTAAGAATGATTTTTGTACAAAACAGAGAAAAAGTGAAAATTAACATTTATGTCGATTTAGTCAATCCGAAGCGAACAACCGTGATTATTTTAAAACCGGCAAAACTACCTAGTAATAATCAAAAAAGTCAGCACAAAGTAAAGTAAGAATCATGGTAAAATTATGAAGGTAAAATCATTTTAAATAATTTCACTACAAGGAAAACAGGTTACAATCTCTAATTTATGTGTATACAATGGATTTGAAAATATATGTAGATTTTGACAATGAGATGTTGTCAAATGAATAATTTTCAAGGAAAGTAAACACATGATTGCATGACTTTACCTTGGCTGGCTTAAGTCATAGGCTGGCTTCTTCGTAAATGAACAAAGGAGTTTTAGGTTGATTCAGTTCGATTTTGGCACCGGGCTCCTTTCTTCATTTTCGAAGAAGCTAGCCGATGACTTAAGCCACCCAGAGAAGCGCTTTATGTATTTCCACCCTTACTGCAATTTGTATTGTGTCTAGGATGGTTGGTATTGAAAATGAGATATATCGGTCAACGTTCTGGTATAGTCCCCATATAACAGTACCTCCCGATATTCGGTATTTTGATGATTTATGCCACATTTTGTCACGGATTTGTCTGAAAATTGGTATTTGTAGGTCATAACGGGTCCCTGTACGTGTGGCAAAACATTGCATGTATAGGTCCACGTTTTGGTATAGCCCCCATATAAAGGTACCTCCCGATATTCGGTATTTTAATTATTTTTGCCACATTTTTTCACGGATTTGCCTAAAAATTGGTATTTGTTGGTCATAATAGTTTCCAGCTCCGGTGGCGAAACATTGCATGTATGGGTCCATGATTTGGTATAGCCCCCATATACCGGTACCTCCCGATATTCGGTATTTTGATGGTTTTTGCCACATTTTTTCACTGATTTGTCTAAAAATTGGTATTTGTGAGTCATAATGGGTCCTAGTTCGTGTGGCGAAACATTGTATGTATAGGTCCACGTTTTGGTATAGTCCCCATATAACGGTACCTCCCAATATTCGGTAATTTGATGATTTTTGCCACATTTTTTACGAATATCTCTGAAAATTTGGTAGTTGTAGATCATAATGGGTCCCAGTTCGTATGGCGAGTCATTGTAATTATAGGTACACGGTTTGGTATAGCCCCCATATAACGGTACCTCCCGATATTCGGTAATTTGATGATTTTTGCCACATTTTTTTCACGTATTTGTCTGAAAATTGGTATTTGTAGGTCATAACGGGTCCCTGTACGTGTGGCAAAACATTGCATGTATAGGTCCACGTTTTGGTATAGCCCCCATATAAAGGTACCTCCCGATATTCGGTATTTTAATTATTTTTGCCACATTTTTTCACGGATTTGTCTAAAAATTTGTATTTGTTGGTCATAATAGTTTCCAGCTCCGGTGGCGAAACATTGCATGTATGGGTCCATGATTTGGTATAGCCCCCATATACCGGTACCTCCCGATATTCGGTATTTTGATGGTTTATGCCACATTTTTTCATTGATTTGTCTAAAAATTGGTATTTGTGGGTCATAATGGGTCCTAGTTCGTGTGGCGAAACATTGTTTGTATAGGTCCACGTTTTGATATAGTCCCCATATAACGGTACCTCCCAACATTCGGTATTTTGATGATTTTGACACATTTTTTCAAGAATTTCTCTGAAAATTGGTAGTTGTAGATCATAATGGGTCCTAGTTCGTGTGGCGAGTCATTGTAATTATAGGTCCACGTTTTGGTATAGCCCCCATACAACGGTGCCTCCCGATATTCGGTAATTTGATGATTTTGACACATTTTTTTCACGTTGTTGTCTGAAAATTGGTATTTGTAGGTCATAATGGGTTCTAGCTTCGTTGGCGAAACCTTGCATGTGTAGGTCCATGATTTGGTATATCCCCCATATAACGATACCCTCCGATATTCGGTATTTTGATGGTTTTTGCCACATTTCTTCTAATGTTTCCTTTACCCTAAGGTGGGTATTAAAAGTTTGGCCCGGCCGAACTTAATGTTCTTTTACTTGTTTGTATTCTCAACTTTAATATCCTATGATAATTTAAAGGTGAGAGTATATACAGGGTGAGATGAAAGAACAGCAACAGCGTACAAAAGCATTTTGGTAAGAATTTTCCAGAAAAAAAGTTATTTGTAATGGAATTCAAGCGTAATAGCGTGATTCCTTTATATTTGGCTGGAAAACCACAAGTGGCTATCGTTATGCAAGCCACACACGATACAACTGGTTGCACAACTTGGAGAGTACTCAAATTGTGTGTTTCGGTCACAAACGATGCAACTTAGTGCACAAACTCTTTGCACAACTTCACTTTTCGTAGATTTTGTTTGAGTTAAGATGACACCGGAAAAAACGCATGCTCTATAATTGACACAATAGCTTTTATTTATAATTAATTTTTGAAGTTCCATTTTATAAATTGAAATTACTTTCCATATATACATTAAAATCACGCATTTGATTAGGATTCGTATTGTTTTGATGTGCGAAACAATGGTGTTGCCTCTTCAAAAATAAAGACAAAATGAAATTTATGCGACATGCCCACAAACGTTACAATCGGTTGGTACAACATGTACAACATATCAAAAAATTTTGATTTTTCATACAACCGAGACACAACTTCGTACAACCGGGCCACAAACGATACAATCTTGAATACAATCTCTTCCAGTTGTACAACCGGTCGTAACGTGTGTGGCTTGCATTATGACAAACAATGCTACGTCATAAAGACCCCAATAAAACGGCTATATTCGGTATTTTTAAAATTTTAACAGAATTTTTAAGGATTTTATTTTTGGTGGAGGGTATGCTTTTTAACTTGTTTTTATCTCACCCTGTATGTACTTAGATAGTAAATCGTTACCAATTTTCAAGAATATCACAAATTACGGCTTTCGCTTGTCGGCTCCTATTCGTTTTTTTTTCAATTCTCCCTTAAAATGCAATGAGGCATAGAAAGAGAATCGATTTGGTTTGATATCAAACCTCTGCCATGGAGACCTCTTACCAATGCAACTGAAAGCTCCAATAATGTGCGATTGTTTAAGCCATGGTTAAAACGCTCACACAATGACTGGAACGAAACAAAGCTTGAGAGCGTTTGCACACACGGCAACTTATCAACTATGCAGGCGCAGAGAGAATCCGCTTGTGGAGTTCGTCTTTTAGTCGGGTTTGAGATGTTAGACTGTTAAGTTGTGTCTTTCCGAGTGACCGCTAAGTTGTCGTAAGCAGCAAGACCAAAAGAAAGTTAAAAGACGAAAGAGAAGGAGCGGAAAAGAAGAAGAAGAAAAAAAGAATTAAAAAACTCGTGCCAACGAAGGCCTGTGTTTTTGTTTTTGGTGCAAGCCAAGCTGTTTTGCGTTTTGTTTTTCTCTTTCTCTCTCTCTCTTCTACTTCTGTATTTTGTTTTATTTGCGACGGAATCTGTGTACTCAGGTGGATATTATTAACAAAAAACAAAAACAACAATTTCTGAAGATACAACAACGATACTTCAGGTCGATCGAATCCATCGATCGCAAACAATAGAAAGACGATTAGGACCGTGTTATTGATTTTCGAGTGGCGTGGCAATAGCCGCAAAGTCGAGATAAGTCGTTTTGTCATTTACAAAGTGAATTCCGGTGAATATTTCGCACTGTGCTGGTGTGCAACTTGAAATATATAAATTCAAATTGTGTCAAAAAGTGATTAATGAAAATTAAACCCAAAGAAACATAGCGCAAATTAAAAAAGTAACAACCAATTGCAATTTGTAAAAGCGAGCAAAATATAAACAAATCAAGAAATATCAACACGCGCTCACTCGCGATCATTAGGAATATTACTACTGTCCAACAAATAGCCGAAACCGAAAGCAAAAGGAGAAACAAATCTCGCAAAAAGAATATTTTGCAATCATCTTGAACCACACAAAAAAGTGAATTGTAATGTAAGTACCCGACACCCTCCGATCGCGCGCTCTCAGCAATGCATTCATTTGGAATGCAATTTGTTGTTGCTGTTCAACTTTTCAAGATAGCTAGCGAGCAAGCAAGTAGCCATCCATGCATCCATTTGGCCAACAACATTCATATCAATGCAATTGTGGTGGAATTCAACGCCACCACTCCTCCCACCACTGTCATTACACCTACGCCAACACACACACACACTTTTACACATATGCAAGCAATACATGCATGTGGTTTTAGCGCTAGTGAGCGAGCAGTGTTTGGTGCATTTTTAGAATTTCGAATTAGAAAACACCACCAACAACAACAACGAAACTTAAACAAAGTAATGTTTGTGTATGCATGCTTGCGGAGCCTCTCAAATGCCTTGAAATATATGCATCCGTTTGCGTGTTTGAAATTTCAAATGGCTTTCAAGAATCGCTTCGATGTTACGACCAACGACAACCATAATGTTTATTACGTTAGCATGCAACGACGGTGGCGACGACGACTACGACGACACATTGCCGTGTACTGTCATCCGTACACACTAGAATACAGGCAGATACATTCGCTGTTCTGGTGCCTGGTTCTCCTACAATTGTCGACTGTCTTGTCGCAAGTTGTGTCATCCATTCATTTTCTGCCAGTTATCCATCGATCTTCAAGTACCGGCATGTTAATATTCTAGGTGCGCAGATACAACACTGCTTTGCAAAAGTTTGAGGGTGGTTATGATATTGGAGGTCATACTTTATGTCATTACTCCGGATGCAGGTTAACAAAAAGTTCACTATTTTGACAAATATACCTGAGGTTTTTCCAGGTCTCGATGATTTTAAAAAAGGAGTTGAAGACTCAAATGCCATATATAGAATAATTAAATTATTTAACAAGTCAAAAATCCAGCATTTTCACTACGCTGTAATCTAAGGATTAAACACCATGGCGCAAAAAATAAATGAAAAAAAACAAACGAAATGTCAAATTTTTATTAAGTTTTGTTTAACAATTAGGAGTTTTCGTTTACTTTATAACTTGTTACTGAGAGTGAATTGAGAGAACTATTTTTGACAGGTGTGTACTGACAGCTAACTTATGCTTACTTGAAAATTTCTCCATCATCTGTTCAATAATCAGTTCGGCCGGGCCGAACTTTAAATATCCACCACCATTTTGAACAAATCTGGCAATTTTCAAAAAATAAAATCCGTTAAAAATTCTTTTAAAATCTTAAAAATACCAAATGTAGCATTCATATAAGGATCTTAACGACGACGTGGACCTGCATAGGCAACTTTTGTCATAAGCCATTACAATATTCAAATGCGAAACTTAAAAAAATCGCTGAATAATTTAGCTAAAATCATCAATAGCCAATAGGGGCTATACCAAAATGTGGACCTGTGCAGACAATTTTCTGTCATAGGCTGCTGTATCCAATGCGACCTTCAAATACCAAATTTGAAACAATTCCGGTGAATAATGTCGCTAAAATGATAAAAATACCGAATATAGGGAGGAACGGTTATATGGAGGCTATACGCAGACGTAGACCAGCACAGACAATTTTCTGTCTTAGGCTGTAGTTCCCATTACGAACTTCAAATACCAAATTTTAAACAAATCCTCTGAAGAATGTCGCTAAAATCATCAAAATACAAATGATTCGATAAGGTTTTTTTTTTTGTTTAATTGTTTAATTTATTGAATCTTTCATATATTTAATGAAAATAACAATAAGGTTTCATATCTTATATACTAATATTTTTATAGGGAGGTTGTCAATACAATCACCCCATATTTTTTTCATGCTTTAATTATTATTGTTTTTTTTTATAATATAGATGTGTGTTATTTTGTGGGCTTGTGGATACAGTTATATCCGTGAATTGATTGGATAGGTAGTTAAGATTAGTTTAGATACAGATATATCTAAGTGAATCGCGGACTACAGAAATAGTCTTACGGATATAATGTTGCTTTGTTTAGATACAGTTATATCTAATCATCCCGCGGACTACAGTAATAGTCTTATCGATTTCTTCACTAATCTTCCCGCGGACTACAGTAATAGTCTTTTCGATTTCTTCACAGAAGCAGCTTCCAATTTAGCATACTACTACCTGTAGAAGTATAAAAGTGGGCGACGTTCAATTGGCCAGACAAGAGCTGAAAATAATGAGAGCGTAAGACAAAAAAAAAAAAACTATATGATAGAAAGAGTGTCACGTCTGCGCAGTCTATCGTGGCCTCCGAATAGTAGGAGTTGGCGGGCCAAGTTATTTGGGTGCTCGGATAGTTTGTTTAAGTACCTGCGGCAAAGCTTCTTTATTTCTTCTTCAACAGTAAGTATATTTAGGTCCTTGTGGATGTTTGCGTTCCTTATGTACCATGGTGCACCTGTAATAGATCGAAGAATATTCGACTGTCTTCTTTGTAGTTTACTTACGTTAGAGGCACTAGCTGTACCCCAGAGCTGTATGCCATACGTCCAAATTGGCTTTATTATAGTCTTATATAATAGGACTTTATATTCTAATTTAATAGAAGAACGTATACCAATTAACCACTCAAGATTGGCCTTTTTTAGTTTAATTTGTGTGATTTTTGCATCGATGTGTTGCTTCCATGTAAGTCTTCGGTCCAGGTGCATTCCGAGATATTTTACGGTATCTTTCTGTGGAACTTGAGTATTAAAGATTTTTATCGTGCGGCAAAGTTCACGTCTTAGAGCAAAAGTAACATGTATGCACTTGCTGGCATTTACCGATATTCTCCATTTTGTCAGCCAATTTTCGAGAAGATATACATGGTATTGTAGTTTTTCCGACGCAATCAGAGGATCCTTGTGTATGCTAATGAAAGCAGTATCATCAGCAAACGTTGAGGTTAGAGTTTCATTGGTTGTGGGCATATCGGCAGTAAATAACACGTACAGAATTGGTCCTAAGATACTACCCTGTGGGACGCCAGCCAATATTTTTCTCGAATTTGAAAGTATGTCTTTCGATTTAACAACAAACGTACGATTTGACAAATAACTACAAAAAAGTTTATGAGTGTTTTTAGGTAGAGTTTCACAAATTTTGTATAGAATTCCAAGATGCCAGACTCTGTCAAACGCTTGGGAAATGTCTATAAATAGCGCCGAGCAGTACTCCTTCCTTTCGAATGTCATTCTAATGTTTGAGACTATGCGGTGCACTTGCTCAATAGTACTGTGGTTCTTACGGAAGCCGAATTGGTGGTCGGGGATAATACTGCTATTTGTAATATGGGGAGTTAACTTCCTTAGTAAAGTTGTTTCGAACAGCTTTGAGAGTATAGATAGAAGACTGATGGGTCTATACGATTTTACCTGTGTTGGATCTTTTCCAGGTTTCGGAATCATTACTATTTCAGATTCTTTCCATACAGACGGGAAGTACCCTACTCGAAGAATGCTGTTAAATATAAATAACAATAATTTAACGGCCGGTGTTGGTAATTTCTTGAGCATGTTTGGAGTAATTCTATCTTTACCCGGGGATTTTTTTAGTTTTATCGAGGCTATAGAACTTTCGATTTCTTTTAGAGAAAATCGTATTGGATTCGGAACAATGTCGTCAATTAAAGGTTGAACAACTGTCGATGGTCCGGGATTTGGGGTAAATACAGATTCAAGATGTTCGGCAAATGCGTTTACTTTTTCTTCTGTAGATCTTGCCCAAGTCCCATTTTCTAGATAAGGTGTCACAATACATTTTTTGGGGCTTAGGAGAATAAGGTTCGTATTTACACTCAACAATTTGTTATTAAAAAAAAGTAAACAAACCGAGCTATTGTATATGTTTCTTAGGATGATTTAAATCACAATTGGCATCTTGGCAGTTAATCCAATGCTATGTGGTGCGATCCTCTAACTAATTTAAAGTAGACTTAACGTGGATCGTAATGTAAACAATTTTGGAATTTTATTTCGGTTTTGAAATTATGGTGCATGGCAGTGTGAGCACATCGAAAAGCATCCATTGTGATTGAAATACCTTTATACTGTCAGATTTTTGTACGTTCGATTTATAGCTGAATGAATTTTGAAAGAAAGATATGGAGGAAATGAGCGGATGGCCTTTTAATTATGCCAAAAAGGGGTTTTATGTATACTGACCTTAAGTTCTCTTCGGAGAGTAAGTAAATTGTTTCTTTTTCCCACAAAAATATTTTAAATCTCTTCTGTCGGAAGATTTTCTGCTCCCGAAGAAACCAAAATTCAAATCGATTGGAAAACACTGTCGTCGGCATCGCTAAAATTAACCAAAAGCGTGGACCTAGTTTAAATACTTTGTTAGTAGCTTTTTTATATAATATGAACTCCAAAATTAGTCAAATTAAATGGAAAATATGACTTAAGCTTAAAAAATACTTTATATAGGGATTGCATCAAAAAGTGGGCCGAAAAGGGTAATATATATTTCTTTGATGACTTTTAACGAATATATTTATATTTGACATTATTCTTATGATATGATGTTTTGTAGGCGAATTTTCCGTTAACTCACGGTTTTAACCAAAAAAATGAGTTTTAATATTAATAAATTCCTGGTATCCAGATAAGATTTAGACTATTGATATATTTTGGGATCAATAGTAAAATTGTATGACAGATAATTTTGTAGGATATTTTGAATTGCCCCGTTTCCATTCAAAGGGAATTTTCTAATCATATTTTGAAAAAAACAAGGAATAAACAAACCCCCTTGATCTCGCTTGTCGGTTAGCATTTTCGATGCAAATAATCATAGCATAGTTATTGTTAATCGACCCTATTACGGTTGTCGTTGGTTGTCGTTTTTTTGTAGATAGCGATGAATGATTGCTATTATAATTGTCGATATAATAGTCGGATTTTTGTGGATTTTTGTAAATATCTGTCGCCGCAAAAATTGTGATGACATTGTATCCTTTAGTTGACGTTGATATTGTAACCATTTTGTATTTGAAATGAAATGAATTG